AAGAAGAAGAAGAAGAAGAAGAAGAATTAACATTTACTTATTTAGTGCTTTTCATTTTTAGTTACACAATCACAAAGTCCCTAACACAGGAAGACAAGTAAAATAATAAATGATAAAACGCCATTAGCTTGTATTATTCTACTAAGCTGCTAAGTGCCCCAACCTGCAATAACATTAATGACTAAACGGAAATGTCCGTACAGTCTGCGGCACGAGCAGCATAAAATTCCAATCCTACCTCTCTGCATTTTTCTCCCTTCTAACTTTTTTTATGCTACAACAGTGTCCTATCAAGGTCTGTGGATGTCTTTTGACAGACCTCTGGGGCCAAATTTAAATCTATCAAGCATTTCACAGTAAGACTGCTCCTCTACTAGAATCCCTATACTGCAGCAGTGCATAATAACACTGGCACCACAACAGAAACCTGCTAACTGCTTGAAGCCACAGTTCTCTATTACTGTTTTTACTGCTAGTATGATGAGGCATTAATTGTCCATGCTGGGAATGAGTGGACGCACTGCTGACTGAACATAGAACAGCTTTTCTAATGTTAAGCCTGGGGAAAAAGCAGGTTTCTTTTTCACAGCAGAGCTCTTCAAGTAATTTAGTTTAATCTATTGTTTGTCCCTGTTTATCTCTTAGCTGTTATGGTTCTAAAATACCAGCCTATGCTGTTACAATTGAAATGCTGTTTATTTGTTAAATTTGGCGAATAGCTGAAGTCAAGTCAGAGAACAACAGGATAGCTTAAATTCAATGGAAAATGCTATCTAATTATGTCGATCTTCAGAAGGCGTTTGTTCTGTTGCCACCGGCAACTTCCGACCGCTCCATGTACGATCCTAAGGTGTGACCTCATTCATAAAACTCGACCTTAGCACTTTTTCCTTTTTAGCGTCATACCACAAAAAACCTCCACTTACCATCCCACAGAAAAGCTGCTCCATGTGGAAATCATTAGGCCCTTTTCATACAGTCACCTACTACGGTGCACGTCTGGAAGCCCATGATCATAAAAGTCTTTTAGGGAATTAAAAAAACAAAAGGTTCTAAGTGCTTACAGCACCCCCGTGTGCGGAATGGGAGAGTACCGAGAACACTGCTTGATGCAATCACGTGGTAATTAGTAACGGGAAGATGCAAAAGAGTTGGACTAAACATTTTTTATCGCGCCAAATCAAGTCACGTGGCCGTCTCCGGGGAATACGGGTGGTCCACATGTACCATTCAGAGCCTAAAATGGGGCCAGAATACGTGGTGATTTATGGCGGGAGTGAACATTCTTGGGCCAAATACAATCAAATATCTGTCCAAACGGCAGCTTGTAAACACAACAGCAGGTAGTGTTGTGTCTCAAAAAAGTAGAGGCATGCTGACTGAGGGTGGTGACGACTCCTATGCACAGCTGATAAACTATTAAACTGGTCAAACACCATCAAAAGCTATTAACTTTAGTAGCCTGAACTTAATCAGAAGTTCATAACAGAAATCTTCATCTGTGATCAAGTTACACAGCAAAACCACAAGTGTTAAATTAACACTTACAGCATACACCAGAAAGCTGCGGAACTGCACGTGCAACTCTGAGGCCGACTTTAACAGAGTGGATGTTAAATAAACACAGTGTACTGTGACAACTGTCCAGAAAAACCATGAACACCCAATAATAAGTTATTTGCATTTAGCACAAGAGTAACCTAATGGCAACTCCATCAACAAAATATATGTCACTAACACATTAGTAACACATAACAAAACCACTAATAATATTATAAAAGTAAGTTAGGTAAGCAAGCATCACAAAATTCATATCGATAAAATTTACACCGTCATTGTGAAAATAATTCCTGGAAAAAAAACAAATGTTCTTGAATTTGATATATTAAAACCATTTAAATGAGTTTTAAACCATTTCTGTAACTCAATTCATCACAAAGTGTTTACACAATGAAGACAGCTGCCAAAGAAATATATATACACACATTATTATCATAAAAAGTGGTTTTAAATTATTATACTAATATAATAACTTAAAATAAGTCATGAGGTTTTGATACAACAGTGACAATATGCTCTTACTGTGCTAGATGATGGGTAGCCAAAAAACCCTTCTCAGATACTGTAAAAATAATAGCTACGGCTAAATTTAAACACTTCCTTGTTCAGGTTTGTGGGTTTACAGATGCTGTCTAACATGTGGTGATCATTTGCTGGAGTGAATGCGGTTCAAGTCCGTACAAAAAAGATCTGGTTAGCTGTGACTGTTTCCTGTTTACACTTCCAGGAAAAGTTCTGATGAGTATCGGGGGAAATAAAGCAGATTTGACTGGCCGTGTAAACGGAGCTTAAGAGTACTCCAACACTGACAGCGCTGCCACATACCCTGCTGCTCTGTTAGCGCCAGACCTGGCATGAACAGATACACAGCCACACAAGCCCACGCTGAGTGCTGTTTACTTGTGCGCAAATCAAAAAACTGTTTAATGGCCGTATTGGCTCAGAACAGAGATCCGAGAGAAGAGCACTTCTGACGTGACTGGAAGGTTACATATGCAGAGGTAGCCACACGTTACTACAAACCAGAAAACAACAGAGTGTAAGTAAGTGCATGCGTACACTTGAGCATGCCCTGCTCCTGGAAGCGTGTCAGGAGCGTGTATTCATGATTCGAGCTGAAACAGTTTAATCGCCCTACATGAACACTCGCCCATACTCTGCACTGCTTTTACATCACAGGGTTCATAGGTTACAGTGCACTGCTGAACAAACAATCAATGTGCCAATCAGGACAAAGTTTCTTTGGGCCTCTTCCACAAAACATGCAAACAGGTGCCGATGTTATTTCTCTAGTCAAGCAAGTGATTTAAGAAGCAAAATAAATCTTTTCTTTGTGGCCTGTTTATCTTCTCAAAGTGTTTCTGCACTTGGCTAAAATATTCCCACTGAGGGAATAAGGTGAAGTTACATAGATATTGACCTTGACATTGAACAAGAGGAATGGAAGAAGAAAGAATGGAAGAGAAATTGATTTATGAATAGGCATGCACCAATTACAATATTTTAAGTAATTCTGATTTCTACAGTCAAATTGGCCAATGGCCGATTTTATTGGATGATTTTTTTTCTAGCCTTTTTTTTTGGATGCTCACATTGTGTGGGCTAAGTGAGCACATTTTCAGAACTTTTAATGCTAATAATGCTAAAGTTGCAATATAAATAACATTATTTACTATTTAATAGGACAAACTGGCATTTAAAATTGTATAGTTACTTATTTAAATAACATGAATCGGGAAAAGTGCTACAATGAAAATAAGTGGCACAGTGAGTTTAGCACAGTGAGTCATGCATTATTGTGCTACGACACTTTCATGCAGGTCTAGCAGCATTTAAATGCAGGATGAGTGCTTTTAACCTGGCTAACGTTATTTACATCATAAAACTGCAACATCTGGCCAAAATAATAAATTGGGGCTAAAAAACTGCTGATTCCAATCTGGGTTGATTCTGATGGCACATAGAATATTGATGATTCATAGAATTTAAGTTTAATCTTATATATATATATATATATATATATATATATATATATATATATATATGCACATTTTTTTTAATCTTTTTACCAGATGGGTAGCTATGCTCATTGTTTCACCCCTTTCAATGAAGTTATGGATGTAACTCTTATTTCCGATGCAGACAACAGGTCTTCTTTTTTGGTTGGCCAATATTCTTGTTCTTATTTAATTCTTATTCTTATTTAAATTAGCAAAATAACAAAATGAATAACATTAAGACTGGATAATAATATGCACTTGTTAGAGTGTTCTCATAACAAGAAGAGTGTCAAAACACACAGTCAGAACAGAGCAAACAATTACAGAAGAAAGGACACTAACTGTTATAGATATGAAGCCCAATAACAGCCCTAACAACTGATTAGCCAATGTAATGCATATGTATGTAAGGATATGTAGATTATTTACATATCCTTACAGAACAGCAAGATCAATTATGTTATCTAGGCTACATCAATGTTTGCATGAGGTTCTTGCATCTGCTCAACAGAGCAAACTTATACCTTACAAGCTAGGTCAACAACATCTCTTGTGTAACTAAGTCTAGAGCCACTGGAGCTCGGCCACTGTTTGTTTCCCCAACCCAGCAAACTTAAACGGGACTTTGGGAATAAGTGGCTTCAGCCTTATTACAAAGTCCAACTGTTACAACCATGTGAAGTTCAACTGCTTAGCGGTCATCTGGATCACTTTTTAGCTAACTATCAGCAAGCAAGAAAAGCAAGCAACTTAAAGGATGGAGTTTTTTGAACATGTTATAGATTTGTCCTACTTCCATGTGTGTTGCTAGAGATTCTTGACTTGGCCAGAATTTAACTGTACAGAAATTGCAAAGAGATGCAATATGAGGAAAGGCCTTTGAGAAAATAAAAGTCATTCCATTGTAAAAAGTCATTCCTATGACAATTTAAATTAACAGGAGTAAAGCAAAAAAATATTATTACAGCAGGAATATTAGTAACATCAGTAATATTATCAATCCACGGTAGCAAACGTTAATATTCAAAGGATAAACGCCTTGCAGTGGTGTTTCAAACTGTTATAAAACGGATAAAAGATCAGTGATTAACCAACTACCCGGCATGACACTGTATTTGAATACTAACAACTTTTATAATGCAATTACCGCTCCATAAAAGTCTGACAGTAATTACACACGTGTGGCGTGATTCAGGCAGGTTTTATCGTAAACCATCAGGCTGGTCTTAAACGTAGTTGAAGCAGTTAAACGTAACCTTTCAATCAAACATGGACACGAGGCTTTTACTAGTTGCACATGACAGAAGTTGCATGATTTTGATACGAAAAACAAAAGTAAGTATTGCCAGAACGTCAGAGAGAGATGGAGCAGCTGAAAACAAAGCGAAAAAAGGACAAGAGAACCTGCGCTGGCCCTGCTTTCACTCTTTTAAAGCCTACCTGATGGGACATCACCGGGTGCTGGACTGGTTTAGGGGAGCTGCCGCTGCTGCTGCTGGTGTTAAAGTTGCCGCGCCAGGTTGCCAAATTTATCCAGCGGCGACCTCTGGAAAGTTTCCGAAATCTGTTTTTAGAAGCAAACAGAAAAAATTTCGTTAACCGAACGGCATAGCCAGCTATTCAAAAACGCTAACGGGTACCAGCTGCCCTAGTTTAACGGCACAAAGTCGGGATTAATCAGACAAACCCCAAACAAGCTAACCTAACGCTAGCGTAACTAGCAAAGCTCGGAGCGGTAACCTACGTTAGCTACAGTCTCCCAACACAGAAGAGCGTTAAAAACAACAGCGCTTTAAAGGGCCAATTCAGACCTTCGACATAGTCGAGCGTAAAGTAGGAGAGCTAACTTTATCTTTTCAGTCCCACTAACGAAAGCAGAGCCCGCTGGCTGGGCACATTGTTTATGTGTCAGCATGTCAGAGTGTTAGCCGTAGCGTTTAGCTCCAAACTGAACTCGCTCAAGTTCGCCTTCGCAGTAACGCTCGACATTATTTTCCTTTGTGGAAAAAGAAGAATAAGGCAGGATTACTTTACCGGGGCGTATCCGTGTTCCTTCTCGAAGCATCCAAAACAAACAGGCCTCAATCAAAACTCACATTAGTCCACATGAACGGAGCATATATGTTTTTCTGTGTTTTTTTTCTCCTCTCTATACTAGTCAGCCACCAAACAGAGGTGGACATGGACTCTGCTTCGTCCCGCCCAACGGCTTCAGTAGAGCTGCATATCCACAGACGTATTACCGCAGGCGACCAATCGCGGGGGGATTCTCGTCGCTGATTGGGCAGAAGGATGACAGCTCGCCTCTGATTGGCAGAATGCAATGCCTCAGACTACACGGCGGCCAACTCCCCCCGCCATATAGGGGTGTGTCCTGACGTCAGCGCCTGACCAGCGAAGAGGGTAAACAATCCCGTCCTTATGAAGTTGGTGATATGTTTGCATTTATTTAAAAAAAAAGGCGAGTTAAATCTGCCAGAAGGAACATTTGCTGTCCAAGAGGCTAAAACGAGCTATTTTGGGATGATAAAATGATAAATAATAAATAAGAAAGCATAAGCATAAGCAAAAATGCATTATTTTCTGCAATTTCCCTCCATTTATTTGAGGAGGGTGAACAACGCCTAAGCGCAAAATCCAATGCTTTTAATTCCAAAGCATATTCACCACGTAAGAGCCAACTTAAGGTTCATTTCTGCATTACAGTGCAGTACAAGCCTCCAGGACCGTTTCAGTCATGGGTTGGAATATCAGGAGGACAAGCGGTGAGTTCAAAACTTATAACTTGCCTTTAATATATTTTTTTTTCTTTTTTTGGTGCATTAGCACTCCCCATCTTCTCCACATTGTTGCAACAAAGTCGTTGTGTCACATTCTCTCATCTCTTCTCACAGGACTGAACTGGGTTGAACAATGTGACTCCCCAGTGGAATAACATCCTGCGTCCGGGGTACGTTTCTAGGACCTTTCCTAGACTTACGGAATCTCACATAGCAGGAAAAATGTGCAGTGTTTACACAATGTATACTGTGCATAAACACTGCATCTTTGTGGGCAAGAGACAGAAGGAGCATGTACACGTGTGTCTATAATAGTGATGGTCAGAGGGGCTTAACATAATTACACTGTATATGGGTGAATGGCTGGAAAAGCTTGTGTAATTTTCTCCCATCCCTGCCTTAAAGCATGTGTATGAGTGTGTCTGCACGCATGTGTTTTTCCTCTCGTGCACGTGCTGAAATCTAGGCCATCTTCTTGGCTTTGTGTCTAAAAGGGGGGCGTGGGGGGGGGGATGCAGAGTAGTTCCTGGTCCAGAGGAAAAACCACAGTCCACTCGAACAGGAGAGATGCTTGCGCTTATATAGCACACGCCCACACACCCACTCATCCTCAGACACACAGTCTCCTCTCATGCTCATTCACACCCACACACACATTATCTGATCCAGGATCAGCTCTTTATTCAGACAGTGAGCAAAAAATTCCCGTCTGATCCCAACCATGTGGATTTCCTTGTCTGCTTCAAAAGAAATAGTTTGGCTAAAAGAAAAAAAAAAATCTTCCTCAGCCTCAATTTAATTGATCTACCAAGATATGTTTGAAGTCTGAAATTTGCATCTTTATTTTTGTAATGGAGTTTATGGGGCTAATGTGACTAACAAGTAATGGCAGCTAGCTAACAATCCGTTAGCACTGTGTAAACTGCACGCCTAAATCATTACACATGTGCCCCAGTTTTAATCTCAAATAGATTTGCAAATGTGGTTTCTGACACTGTTATCTATTCAAATGGACAAAAAAAGAGTCAAAGTTCAGGCCTTAAGGTAGCCGCTACCTCTGATTTCATTAGCTATGCTGTTTTTAGCTTAATTTTGTCCATTTTCTAGATAACAGTGCATCATACAGTGCCAGAAACCACATGTGCAAGTCTATTTCAGATTACTTAACAACTCAACTCTATTTGAGGCAAGTTTTTAGACACACAGTTTGGACAAGTGATGAGCTCCATGCTTCTTAGCTTGTTGGCCTTGTAGCTCCAAGGAGCAAACTCTGGAGGCTAAACATGTCTTGGCTGATTGACTACAATGTGTGGTGAGGGGAAAACTGTGTTAATTTGATTTGTTTTTTGTCCAACTATCTTTTTAGTAGTGAAAGAGGCTCCAATCTCTGGCGGTCTCTCTGTCTTCAGACTCAGGATCTTCCCGCTCCCCTTCCAGCTGGAAAAACAAACACAGTCTGTGGGAGTGAAGGGACCCAGTGCTGTAAAAAAAAACTGCAGCGCCACTCTCGCCGGCTTTCAAGCGAATAAAAAAAAGGAAAAGGGCCTGTGTAAATGTCATTAGTTATCTTTATCACCAAATGTGTTTGGCGACTTGAAAGCGACGGAGGAGGATCGGCACAGGCAGCTTCTCCACAGCTCCACTGGATAACGAGACTGTGAGTGAATAAAAGCAGAAATAAGCAGGCAGTAACATAGCAAGTGGTTTTGCGTTTTATTGGGGAGGAAACCTCTGTGTACGAGATTTGTGAAAACACACACTCCTTTTTCCTCCCACCCGCTGCTTCTTGACCTTGACCCCTGACAGAAACAACAAGGGGAGGGGGGTGGATTTGCCCCTGGTAACTGGTCTTAACTTACAGTACAGTAGTTTGAGTATTTATTTCTTTTTTTCTTGCTATATGTGGGCATCTATGGCCTGCTAGAAGAAAGTCAAAGAGGACAATTATAATTTCCAGGAGCTTGTTTTTCAGTGAAAAACTCATTATATAAAATATGCTCACAATTCACCATATTAGAATTATTAGAAATGCCTACACTGTACTTCCACTCACTGGCCAACACAATCCACCTACCTTATAGATCCACTGTACTATTACAGACTATAGCCCACCTTCACAACTTATCAGCCACCCTCTACCCCAGTCGTCATTGGTCAGGTGATGACCACATGACTGCTGTTGACCATGTTATCTGGGTGGTGGATGATTCTCAGCACAGGAACATGGACATGGTAGTGTGTGTGTTGCTGGTATGAGTGTATCAGGCACAGTGTTTCTGGGGTTTTTACATGCATCACTGCTAGGTCGAGAGTGGTCGACTCCCCAAAAATATCCAGCCAGGAGCAGCTCTGTGGTCAGAAACTGACCACTGATGAAGGACTAGAGGATGGCTAACACAAACTGTGCCTCAACAGATGGGCTACAGTCTCTAACTGTACACCAGCAAAATGGAGCTACAAGGTTTCCAGTATTTCCAGTTCCAGGCTTGCATCAAATATATATATATACCGAGTGAATTAGCAAATATTTAGCCAATTCACCCAATTTGTAATTTACATTTTGATTTTGCATGTGTATTTGTGGAAAAATACATGTATATTAAAGTGGCTGGTGAGTGTATATTTAGTCACAAGTTTACCTATTCAGGCCCCACCCACAAATGGGCTCTTTCATCAAGAGCTTTACTTTATCAAGCTTTACTGAATGTTTTCAAAAATGCCATTTAACCTAATTAAAAACGGTAGCGCGCTATATTTAACCACTACATAATGTAAAACACAATGCTATTGAACTGGTCTATTTTGTTGCAGCATAAAGTTGGATACAATGCAGCCATATGCATATTGGACCTTTGCAAAAGTTATGGAATATTTTATATTTTATAGTCTATTTTTCCAGATACGGTAAACACACAAAGTAAACAGAAATAATGCACAAAAATGTGCAAAAAAACTGTTTTAGTTTTGTTTAGTTTGTTCCCTGTAGAAGATATATTAACTTATTTTCACATTGACAATCAACTAAAAATAAATGTTTGAAAAGAATGCAGTCTATATGTAACATTCTATAAAGTTTGTCCAACCTAGCAACCCTGGCTGCGAATGAATGTGTTTGTGGGCGGAGCGTGGATCGGACAAGTACGTGTGCTGAAAAATATGTGAAGGAATGAAAGGACAATTGGTCTAAACCGGAATGTGGGGTGTATAAAAATGTCCATGGCCATGGGGCAACAGTAGGTCAGGCCGCACCGCAGGGCATTCCGAATTCTTCCTGGCGGCTGTAAAATATCTGCCATTAACATGCTGATGACTGCATCCAGCCGCATATTGGAATTACTGTGCACTTGGAGTGGCTCTCGGACTTGGCAGCGTGCCAGTCCCATTACCCCATTTATTCCTATATGGGAAACGCTTGAAAGACGTTTCCAGACTATTTAGCTTCACAGGATGTGAGCACGAGCCGTGCCTTTGCAGGAACAGGAAGAACACATGTTACACTATGAATAAAACAAACACAGCTTTTGATTATCTCAGCGATAAAGTAACAACGTGGTTATGTTTTTATCTTAATTATCTGTACTTACCATGTAATTTATAGGCTGCATGACAGGCCACATGTATGATCATAGGCTACTTTACATGAAAGAGAGCTGGAGTGACCACACCTGTTTACATGTCTGAGTGATGTATCTGTGTTTGTGGTTGCACATTTATAAGTAGCATGTGTGATTTAGAGGCCGTGCACAGTTAGACTCCCTCTGCTGGCCCATAAGCCATGAAGCTAAGTCTCGCCTGTGGATTAATTTTGCCTTAATCCCTTACGATAATACCAAGACCACTCAGGTTCTTCATCTTAGTGGAAAAATGTAGAAGGTGTTAAAGAAATAGTTCAGCACAGTTTAATCCTAATGTAGTCGATCAGCCATGTTCGGCATCCAAAGTTTGCTATACATAGTGTTATCTATAAAATTAGACAAAAGTTTAGACATTTACTTAACAAAAAAAGTTCATGATGACTCAGACATGCACTTTATCAATGCTAAATGGCAGGGCATAACTTTCTATTACTTGCTGATGTATTACACAGTGTAATACTTGCCTTTTTATTACTGACTGATAAATTGTGCAGGAAAACCCTTACAAAAAAAACAAACATATGATTTCTACAGTGCTATTTAAAGGGGACTTATGCTGGAAAAACAAACTTTCTGCACTTTTTATTGTAGTATGTAAACATTATTCAAGTTGAAACATTCATTCCTCAGTTCATACACGTAAACTAAGCTGTAAAAACAGCCTGTTCTGAATTCATTTTTTTTTTGTGATGTCATGAAAACCAGCACATTTGCATAAATACACCTATTCAACCTGCAGTCAGGAAATCCAGCACATATGTCCAACTATTCAGCCTACTGCAGTTTAGCTCTACTCATTCAAGCTGAAGTTAGGAAGAAGTGTTTCGGTCTGCACATCTTTTTGATTGATGTACAGTATATGAGAGCCAATCAGAACAGAGCTCATTCTCGTATATCAGCCTTAAAGGCCTTAAAGAGAGGTTGGAGAAACAGTCATGTTAAAATGAATTATTGATTGTTTTGGCCACATAAAAGCACACATCATAAGAAAAAATAAAAATACAGAAAAAATGATGTATATAGGCCTGTAATATTTCTATAACAATCTACAATATTTTCACCTCCTTACAATACTACTGCAGTACTGTCTTACTTTGTGGAGCAATTATAGCGAAAGTATAGCGATTATCCAAATTCACTATGAGAAACTGTACTGGAACTGTACACCAATATAGTGAACCTATGAGGTAGATGGAGCTCATAAAGTGGAGAGTGAGTGGAAATAGGAGGTAGGTATTACAGTGAGAGTACTGCACACATTAGAAATACCAAACCCTGCCAGGATGCCAAAAGCTACCCATCAGTATTCATTGCTGCTTTTTCTTTTCACATTACACTTTTTTGTGTAGTCATGTTTAAAGAGTAATCTCTCTCTCAGCATGTCTGCATGTTGCCTGGCTGGCTTGTGTTCCTCATGCACTTAAGGATACACAGAACGTGCCCACGCAGAACTGCCGCAAAGGACTTCGGGATACACTTGTGACATCATCTATGCTACACAGTGTGTCACCTTGAGAGAGTGAATAGAGCATGCAGAACAACAATTCAGAGCGTTTTATTGTCTGTATGAATGGGCTGAATTTATCAGCAGAGGTTCTTTGCCAGATCATGTTCTTCTTCATTGAAGCTTGTAAATGCGAGGATGAATGTATTTCTATGTTTGCGTTAGCTAGCAAAACCTTGAAAATGCTCCAAACAGTAGGATTTCACATCACTCAGAAACTCAGAAAGCTCAGACCTGTTTGGACTTCTAGGGGAATTCCACCAATTTTTCAGAATTTCTACATTGTAGAGAATCTTCCAGACTTGTATTTCTTTACAGTGGTGAAATGAATCAGGGGTCACAACACAAATGTAGCCATTTTATTTGCCATCCAAAATGATTGGTGAATTTTTATGTGTCTTCTGGGTTTTTATATATTATATATATACCAGATGATATATATATATATATATATATATATATATATATATATATATATATATATATATATATGTTATCTGATGCATTATATATTATATATATATGTTTATATATAATGGTAAAACAAAAAAATGTACAAATAAGTTTCAAACCAAATTCTTACCTCAAATTTATGTTGCAACAGTGTCTCAGGCTATGTATTTGTAACCAAAGCTTTCTGCAAGGTCGCTTTTAGAGGCATTAAATGTTTCAGACATCTGGTTCCTATCATAACCGCTCTGAGGAATTCTGATTCTGTAAGTTTCTCAAGAATGGAGCATTTCATACCAAATCCGTCTGAATGACACTGTTTACATCTTAATCCATTTAATTAGGCAGAAATTTAAAAAATGGGTGGAATTCCCCTTTAAAGATGCAGGAGGTGATTCATTTTTTTCTTTTCTTGCTAGTTCAAACGACCTGGAAAAAACATATTTGTTTAAGCAACGGCATCAGCACATGCGCATTATGTGTCTGAGAAACGCTGTTTGGAAAACTGCACAATGGAGCGAAAGTCTGTGTTTACATTGACCTCCTGTCAGTCATTTTATAACCCTGCCCCCTTCTCCATCTTCTCGGCTAAGAAGTGATGGCAGACTCCAGTTAGCAGCCTGGAGCGGCAGGTTTTAGACGCTGCCCACAGGATGCTGCTGGCTGGATATTTTTGGTTGGTGGACTATTCTCAGTCCAGCAGTGACACTGAGGTGTTTAAAAACTCCAGCAGCTCAGACCAGCACAACACACACTAACATGCCACTACCATGTCAGTGTCACTGCAGTGCTGAGAATGATCCACCACCCAAATACCTGCTCTGTGGGAGTCCTGACCACTGAAGAACAGGGTAAAAGTGGACTAACAAAGTATGCAGAGAAACAGATGGACTACAGTCTGTAATTGTAGAACTACAGAAAGTGGAGCTGATAAAATGGAGAATGAGTGTAGAAACAAGGAGGTGTTTTTAATGAAGTGGCTGATCGGTGTAAATCTTCTTAAAAGCAAGCACAATTACCCTGAGATAAATTATCCAATAGCCATGACATGCACTGTTATTAACAACTTGTTAAGTCATTGTTTGAGCTATGGAAAAATGACTGCACTCAACCAAATTTAGTATTTTGATCTCTGAAGTAATGTTAGCTTAATGTCATACTATATCTAAATAACTAAGTAAGGCAGTATCCTTAATAAAGAGCCTACTTCATCACTAGAAAGTCATGACCTGTCCTTGGTACTCAACTAATGCACTTTTAACCCTATGAAGATGTAGTTATCGCCAACAATAACAAAAGTCCATAATTTAATATAAATTATTTCACAATCGTAGGTCATTAAAAAAAAAAAAAACAGAGACATTTTGGTGAAAGTACAGACTCTAAACTTTCAATCCATGCCACATCTGTGTTTGTATGTTATGCATTCTTGTTTTATGGAATGATAAACCATCCCTTACATTTATGCCTTATTCAGACTGCAGCCTGTATACCAAAAATAAATTGACTGTAATCCATTAGTCTACATAACTGAAATTAACTGTACATTTTATAGCTACATGTAAATAGCAGGCCTATAGCATTGTCTAGATGTCTGTGGGTTAAAGATGTTATATCATCGCCT